GTGGGGGGGGGGGGGGGGGGGTTCCGAGGGGTGAAAAGCCGGTGTCCTGACACAGCCGACAGCACTAACTCCGTCGCAAGAGCGGTCCACCAAGGCAGCGGACGCACGTCACCGGGAAGCATCACCCGCAGAGGTCTTCTAGGTGCCTGCCCAGCACAACCCCGGCCCCTGCTTCTGGGACGCTTCACCTCGGCTGTCAGCAAGCAGTACTTGAATGGAGATGTGGGTGTAACACCCCACCTGGTGCCCATCGCCCTCACCAGCCTCTGGAATGAGCAACTGCAGTGATCTCCAACCATCTCGTCCACCAGATCAGCTCCCAGTAAGCCCCCAGTTAACACTTCCACGTCTCTGCAGGCAGTTGCCGGGTCTGCTCATATTCCAGAGAAGGAATCAACCTCTCTAAACATGAAGATGGCTTGGGCTAGGGTCCTCTGCCACCACACCTGGGCTGGCTGCTTCTTGCAGGTACCTCTTTATCAGGGTAGCAAAGAAAAATCCCACTGCTGCCCCCAGGCTGGACACGGGCAGAGCCGGAGGAGCTGCCGACGCAGCTGAGCTGGAAGCAGGGCCCTCCGGCGACCTTGATCAGTTCAGGTACCAGCACCTCACCCGTGATCCTCCCGGCAGGGAGAGGACACCCCGAGAGTCTCTTTGGCCCCATTAACCAGACTGCTAAGACAACTGTTTTGCCTTATTCCACACGGCGTGTTACATCCCCCGCCCCAGGAGTGGGACCCGAAAGATTCACTCACCTGAATAATAAGTTAAGACCAAAAAGTGTAAACATCACAGCCATGTACCCTACGATTCCAGTGGCGTAGCTGATCTTGTATATTAGTAGAAACCATTTATAAACCAGCCTGTAAAGAATGAAAACGAGAATTTAACTACTTCCTTTTTCCTGAATGAAACTGCACCAAAGCACCTAAAGAGTTTTACTTTTTAAACCCGGATGGTGCTGCCTGCAGACACTTCACCTACGCACGGGCCACACAGCTTTAAATGTCTAATTCAAGCTACAGACCCGCCGCCACGGGCCGCTCACGGTCTTGACTTCCAAACTAGAAACCTCGGCGTCTCCAAAGGCCGTAAGCAAGCGTCCTTCACGCCGGGAATGCCCTCGGTGAGGCTACCAGCCCACGCGGTGTCTGCCTTTCCAGCACCCGCTCGGGTACCACGTGCATCGGGCTGGCTGCCAGCCGCCGGTTAGTGCTTCACGCCGACGGGCAGGGGTTGCACACCCCCGGGGTGCAAAGTTTAAGACAATGACTTGCGGCAGCGAAACTGGGAAGAGCTCCTTGTAATGGTTACCCTGGGGCTGAGGAGTTTTCCCGGGAACACGTGTACTAACCTGGGCGTTGTCTGTACCAGAGGTTTTCGAGTTGCCCTGAAGGTGACGAAAGCTGTGACCGCTGAGAAGAGCACCCAGATTACCAGGAACCGCCACCAGTACAGCTTGATCGTGAAATAGAGAGGCACTACCCACATCTGGAAGAGGGTGACCATCTGCAGGAACAGAGGAAAGGCATTTTGAGCTGGTTCCCTGCTCATCAGACATCAGAAACACCCTGCCAGTCCCGGCAGCCCTCCTCCTGCCTGCATCAAAGGGCCCTGAACAGCACCAGGAAACTCGGGAGGTTTGGCCTGTGGCACCCAGCACCCAGAGAACAGGCTCAGAGCCCGACTGAGGGAGTCAGAGGCAGCAGCCAGGCCATCTTCGGTAGCAAAGGACTAGAGCTGGAGGGAGAACGCAGAGGAAACATCTCCAGAGGGAGGTACAGGAGATGACCCACCTAACTAGTTTTCGTAAGAAGTCTACGTAAACCTTCACGGCCCCGAACACCGCAACCACAGACACCTCAGGCCAAGTATGAAACAAGGAGACGGGCGCAGGGGAAGGTGTCAGCCTCGCCTCTGCCCTACAGCCTATTCCCAAAAGGGATCTACGGCCGTGCAGCTGAGCTCCTGCGGTGCTGCCGGAGGGCAACAGGCAAACGGGTTCCGTTTAAAGTTCATAGAAGATTACAGGCATTGCCTGGGAACGTTAATTATGATAAGGAAGTCAGAGTGAGGTTGGTTCAGGTAAAATAACAGTCCCCGACAAGCCGGTGGCATCAGCAAGCGGCAGGTCTGCTCAGCAGACAGTGCTGCCGGGCAAGCCCAGCGGTGCTGCAGGAACCGTCAAACCCAGGGTCCCGGCAGCAAGAAGCCCCCGCCGCCTGCGAGGAAGCGCCCACAAAACGCAGCTTCCCTTTGCGTTACCCTCAGGACAACACCCGGGATCTGCTTGTCCCACCGCCTGGTATCAAAGCACTTTGTAAAACCGAGTTATTGGCATCACTTGTCACAGAAACTTGAGGCCTCCAGGCGCCTCCACCCTCATCCCTAAGCTAGAATCCCCGCGCGCTGTTGGGAAGACGAGGGTATCTCAACACCAGACAAGAGGAGAAAAACAGGAACGCGCTTCTCATCAGCTAAAGGGCGGCACCACTCAGCACTCGCATCCAGCCTCGGAGACAAAACGGCCGCGTGGGAGACACTTACGTTGTAGGAGCGAGGGTGCCTCTGTTTCCACTGAACCAACAGGAGCTGTGCCACCACTAGCGTGGCGATAAGGATGAGGACCATTTCGGCATGCATAGCCTCGTGACCACGGTGCTTGGCATGCATCCGCGCATGCTCCACCCTGCAACGACAGGGAAAAGGCGGCTGAAGAGCATGCGGGCGCAGACGGCACGCTAGCAGCACGGCAGGGCTGACAAACACCTCGGCACGGGGGAGCCAGGAAGACCAGGCCGAGAGACACCACGGAG